CTAAAGGATACCTGATCAACCAGGCTGTGACTCGTATGTCAGGCTGCGTCAGCCGCGTCCAACAGCCTGGTTGACCAGTTCAGCAACCAGGAGGCCTGGTCGACGACCGGGCCGCGGGGACGCTGAGCCCCGAAATCACCTCAAGGTAACAGTGTTTTACTCCATCTACTTTGTAACTATGTACATCATAGTACAAATATTGACGTATTAAGTTATTAGTAGTTTTGTACTATTCACTTTATCGAGTATGACAAAATTAAGCTAATAAACGAACTTAAATATTCCTAGGTCTAGTATAGCAAGTTATAGATAAGATGTATTAGGCAAGTTCTTCCAAGAAGTGCCGGACCAACCGGGCTGTGGTGGGTATGTGGGCCTGCGGGCCGCTCCAAGCAACAGCCTGGTGGACCAAGTTATCAAGGCCAGGCCGGGCTCAGGGAGTATCTTGAGGTTATCTTGAGATAATTTCGGGGCTTAGCGTCCCCGCGGCCCGGTCCTCGACCAGGCCTCCTCCTCTTTTTCACATCCCCAGGAAGCAGCCCGTGGCAGCTGTCTAACTCCCAGGACCTATTTACTGCAAGGTGAACAGGTGCATTAGGGAGAAAAGAACATTTCCCCATTTGTCTCCGCCTCCACTGAGGGATCGAAACCGGAAACTCAGGACTACGAATCCGGAACGCTGTCCACCCAGCTGTCAGGCGCCCACCCCTGTCGTTCTGGGAGTAGAGGAACTCCCAGAACCCACTCCAGGTATGTTCCAGGTAAGCACATATACGTACTAACTGGCCCCCCTAACTGGCCCCTAACTAGCCCCTGGGCCTCAGATCTCGGCCTAGGAAGGTTAGCTTAGGGTTTACAGAAATCCCAATAGCCAGATGCACCAAGTGAAGAGCGCGGCCCTTGTGGGTATGTTCTTGGGTCTTGGCAACTTATATGGAAAATCTTTCCCAGTTTGTCCAAATTCAATAGTACCGATTTCTACTTTCTAATTATGCTATATGTCGGTATATGTACTATGGTCCTCATGGTTACTATAAGTACTATTAATATTTAAACGATTCTTCGCGGCAGGGGATCGTATTCCAGGGACCATAGGATTAAGGACTTGCCAGAAACGCTACGCGTACTAGTGGCTCTACAACCATGTAACAACTCTTGTATATATCTCAACAAAAAAAAAAAATAAGACAGGAGGATGGGCTGTCTACTGCGTGTGTTCAGCTGGGGAAATTGACACACTTAAAAAGTATCGCTGTAGTTGATCTATCTTGAGGTTATCTTGAGATGATTTCGGGGCTTTAGTGTCCCCGCGGCCCGGTCCTCGACCAAGCCTCCACCCCCAGGAAGCAGCCCGTGACAGCTGACTAACACCCAGGTACCTATTTTACTGCTCGGTAACAGGGGCATTCAGGGTGAAAGAAACTTTGCCCATTTGTTTCTGCCTCGTGCGGGAATCGAACCCGCGCCACAGAATTACGAGTCCTGCGCGCTATCCACCAGGCTACCAGGCCCCTGTGAGAACTTGATGACTACAAATCGCCATCCCGAAGCCCCAAATCAGATGAACACCGACGACGATTGAAGGGGCACACTGCTGTTGATGTTCAGTTTGATCAGTGCAAGTGACAGTCTACCACGAAGGGAACAGTCAGGAGGAAGCGCCAAGCACTTACTACTATATAGCACTGGGAAGGGGTCAAATTTGGGATGGGACGGAGGGAAGGAATGGTGCCCAACCACTTGTGGACAGTTGGGGATTGAACGCCGACCTGAACTTCCCCAGAACTCGTCTCGCTGGAAGAATGCCACCGGCTTATTCACCGGATTAGTAAAATGGCGTGCAAGAAACTGGAGACAGGAGGTGTCGTTGAGCAAGCTGAAGAGAATACTGACGCCAATTATCCAGACGCGACTGAAACTTGTCCAACAATTAGAATTGTTATCGTAGTAGGTGAAGACAATGGTCAGGGGCCAGATTCGCAGCCTGACGTATAAATCACAGCCTGGTTGATCATGTATCCTTTGGAGGTGCTAATCAAATTCTCTCTTGAACACTGAGGGGTCGGCCAGTTATGTCCCTTATGTGTAGTGGAAGCGTGTTGAACAGTCTCGGGCCTCTGATGTTGATAGTTCTCTCTCAGAGTACCTGTTGCACCTCCGCTTTTCAACGGGGGGTATTCTGCACATCCTGCCATGCTTTTTTATAAAAAAATATAACACTAAACACAATATACAATAAATAAAAATATTATGATTTCAGTCCAGCAACCAGGAGGCCTGGTCGAAGACCGGGCCACGGGGACGCTGAGCCCCGGAAACACCTCAAGGTAAGGTAGGGCTATATACACCAGACAGACGATACTGAAAGTGACTTAACTACAGCTGTATGTGACACATCGTGCACACATCCTGGTTGATACCTGGTTGATGGGGTTCTGGGAGTTCTTCTACTCCCCAAGCCCGGCCCGAGGCCAGGCTCGACTTGTGAGAGTTTGGTCCACCAGGCTGTTGCTTGGAGCGGCCCGCAGGCCCACATACCCACCACAGCCCGGCTGATCCGGAACTTCTCTTACAAAACCGTCCAGTTTTCTCTTGAAGATGTCCACGGTTGTTCCGGCAACCGTACCTGCCCCGTACTGGTAAGACACGTGCACGCTGTAGCCCCTGTAATGGTCATGTCGTGACGGAGATCATCACCACTATATAATGGTCCAGGACGGACCCAAACATGGTCGCTTCTCCATCTTCTGAGTCGTGGTGTGGTCATCATATCTTCGGCCACGCTATTGTGACCTCATCGTGTGCAACACTTCGTTGGAAGACAGAAGAGTTAGGGGGGACATGATCACCACATTCAAGATCCTCAAGGGAATCGACAGGGTTGATAAAGACAGGCTGTTTAACACAAGGGGCACACGCACTATGGGACACAGGTGGAAACTGAGCGCCCAAATGTGCCACAGAGATATTACAAAGAAATTTTTTAGTGTCAGAGTGGTTGACAAATGGAATGCATTAGGAAGTGATGTGGTGGAGGCTGACTCCATACACAGTTTCAAGTGTAGATATGATAGAGCCCAATAGGCTCAGGAACCTGTACACCTGTTGATTGACAGTTGAGAGGCGGGACCAAAGAGCCAGAGCTCAACCCCCGCAAGCACAACTAGGTGAGTACAACTAGGTGAGTACTGGAGTTCCGTGGAGGTGGACACTATTCAACACTACAACTCACAAGGCAGTTATCTTGAGGTTATCTTGAGATAATTTCGGGGTTTAGTGTCCCCGCGGCCCGGTCCTCGACCAGGCCTCCACCCCCAGGAAGCAGCCCGTGACAGCTGACTAACTCCCAAGTACCTATTTACTGCTAGGTAACAGGGGCATTCAGGGTGAAAGAAACTTTGCCCATTTGTTTCTGCCTCGTGCGGGAATCGAACCCGCGCCACAGAATTACGAGTCCTGCGCGCTATCCACCAGGCTACGAGGCCCCACCGAGGCTGACAGAGGAGTTCTGTCCTCTGTCAGCGTCTTAATGCTTCCAAGGCTTTTGACAAATCTTAACAGGCCCAAACGTTTTAGAGAATTGCTTAGTAAAGTAGGTCTTCTCATCGCCAGGTATTTATAAGAACATAATAATGACGGTAACTGCAGAAGGCCTATTGGCCTATACGAGGCAACTCCTATTTATAACCACCCAATCTCATATATGTCTAACCTACGCTTGAAACAATCAAGGAATTCTACTTAAGATCTACTTATATATTTCTTACCGGGAATGCATATTAACTGGTAAATGGAGTAAAGTCCTTTCTGGAAAATTCTCCCAAAAAATGAAATAGGGTCAAACAAGGTGCTATTCTCAGTCACATTCTGTTTGCTATCTAACTTGATCCACTGATGAGAGTTGAGAGCCAGTAGAGCCGGCTGTCACATAGGCTGTGACATAGGCTGCCACATAGGCAGCCACATAGGCTGCCACATAGGCAGCCACATAGGCTGCCACATAGGCAGCCACATAGGCTGCCACATAGGCAGCCACATAGGCAGTCATATAGGCTGCCACATAGGCTGTCATATAGGCTGCCACATAGGCTGCCACATAGGCAGCCACATAGGCAGCCACATAGGCTGTCACATAGGCAGCCACATAGGCAGCCACATAGGCAGTCACATAGGCAGTCACATAGGCTGTCACATAGGCTGCCACATAGGCAGTCACATAGGCTGTCACATAGGCAGTCACATAGGCTGTGACATAGGCTGTGACATAGGCAGTCACATAGGCTGTCACATAGGCTGTCACATAGGCAGTCACATAGGCAGTCACATAGGCTGTCACATAGGCTGTCACATAGGCTGTGACATAGGCAGTCACATAGGCAGTCACATAGGCTGTCACATAGGCTGTCACATAGGCAGTCACATAGGCAGTCACATAGGCAGTCACATAGGCTGTCACATAGGCAGTCACATAGGCAGTCACATAGGCTGTGACATAGGCAGTCACATAGGCAGTCACATAGGCTGCCACATGGGCAGCCACATAGGCAGTCACATAGCCTATGTGGCTGCCTATGTGACAGCCTATGTGACAGCCACATAGGCTGTCACATAGGCAGCCACATAGGCTATGTGGCTGCCTATGTGGCTGTCACATAGGCAGCCACATAGGCAGTCACATAGGCAGCCACATAGGCAGTCACATAGGCAGCCACATAGGCAGTCACATAGGCAGTCACATAGGCAGTCACATAGGCAGTCACATAGGCAGTCACATAGGCTGCCACATAGGCAGTCACATAGGCAGCCATATAGGCAGTCACATAGGCTGCCACATAGGCTGTCACATAGGCAGTCACATAGGCTGTCACATAGGCTGCCACATAGGCTGCCACATAGGCAGTCATATAGGGTGCCACATAGGCAGTTATATAGGCTGCCACATAGGCAGTCATGTAGGCTGCCACATAGGCTGCCACATAGGCAGTCATGTAGGCTGCCACTTAGGCTGCCACATAGGCAGTCATATAGGCTGCCACATAGGCAGTCATATAGGCTGCCACATAGGCAGTCATATAGGCTGCCACATAGGCAGTCACATAGGCTGCCACATAGTCAGCCACATAGGCTGTCACATAGGCAGCCACATAGGCTGCCACATAGGCTGTCACATAGGCTGCCACATAGGCTGTCACATAGGCTGCCACATAGGCAGTCATATAGGCAGCCACATAGGCAGTCATATAGGCAGCCACATAGGCTGTCACATAGGCAGTCATATAGGCTGCCACATAGGCAGTCATATAGGCTGCCACATAGGCAGTCATATAGGCTGCCACATAGGCAGTCATATAGGCTGCCACATAGGCAGTCACATAGGCAGCCACATAGGCAGTCATATAGGCTGCCACATAGGCAGTCATATAGGCTGCCACATAGGCTGTCACATAGGCAGCCACATAGGCAGTCATATTGGCTGCCACATAGGCAGTCATATAGGCAGCCACATAGGCTGTCACATAGGCAGCCACATAGGCAGTCATATAGGCTGCCACATAGGCAGCCACATAGGCAGCCACATAGGCTGCCACATAGGCAGTCACATAAGCAGCCACATAGGCAGTCATATAGGCTGCCACATAGGCAGCCACATAGGCTGTCACATAGTCAGCCACATAGGCTGTCACACAGGCAGCCACATAGGCTGTCACAGGCAGCCACATAGGCAGTCACATAGGCTGTCACATAGGCTGTCACATAGGCAGTCACATAGGCTGTCACATAGGCTGTCACATAGGCTGTCACATAGGCTGTCACATAGGCTGTCACATAGGCAGTCACATAGGCAGTCACATAGGCTGTCACATAGGCAGCCACATAGGCAGCCACATAGGCAGTCACATAGGCAGTCACATAGGCAGTCACATAGGCTGTCACATAGGCAGTCACATAGGCTGTCACATAGGCTGCCACATAGGCTGTCACATAGGCAGTCACATAGGCTGTCACATAGGCTGTCACATAGGCTGTCACATAGGCTGTCACATAGGCTGTCACATAGGCTGTCACATAGGCAGTCACATAGGCTGCCACATAGGCTGTCACACAGGAAGTCACATAGGCCAGTGTCACATAGGCTGTCACATAGGCAGTCATATAGGGTGCCACATAGGCTGTTATATAGGCTGTCACACAGGAAGTCACATAGGCCAGTGTCACATAGGCTGTCACATAGACTGTCACATAGGCTGTCACACAGGAAGTCACATAGGCCAGTGTCACATAGGCTGTCACATAGGCTGTCACATAGACTGTCACATAGGCTGTCACATAGACTGTCACATAGACTGTCACATAGACTGTCACATAGGCTGTCACATAGACTGTCACATAGACTGTCACATAGGCTGTCACATAGGCTGTCACATAGGCCAGTATTTCCCATTACGCTGCTGATCCACTTCTACCCCCACCCACCAACCCCGCTATGATAACCTTGACAGGACTATAACGTAATGTTCCGTCCTGAAAAATGTGCTGTGGTTGCTAACCCACAGGACTCCTTGTATCGAGACCTCGGTCTAAAATTACTAGGCAGAGACATTCCAGTATTATGAAAGTATCTGGAGCATATTATATCATCAAAGGGGCCCACTTGTTAAATTTTCTGATGCTATTAGAGACCCAAAGGTCTCAACACCTATCATTAGTGAATGTGATCTTGATACCTGGTCGAAAGTCAAGTTATTTCTGAACTTGTATGGATGTGAACTATGGGACCTACAACATGCTGATCTTGGTTAGCTTAGTTGTGAATGGAGGACATGTTGTAGACCCGTCCTCGCACTCACTGCACTCTCCTGCCTGGCCTGGGGCCAGATTCACGAAGCAGTTACGCAAGCACTTACGAACCTGTACATCTTTTCACAATCTTTGGCGGCTTTGTTTACAATTATTAAACAGTTAATGAGCTGCGAAGCACCAGGAGGCTGTTTATAACAATAACAACAGTTGATTGGCAAGTTTTGGCGCTTGTAAACTGTTTAATAAATGTAACCAAAGCCGTCAAAGATTGAGGAAAGATGTACACGTTCGTAAGTGCTTGCGTAACTGCTTCGTGAATCTGGCCCCAGTACTGTTATAGACAATGGAACTTTTAGTTTAACTCCCTCCTATACTATCACCAGAAGATACCTAACCACTTGGAATGGACGGTAGAGTGACGGTCTCGCTTCATGTAGGTCGGCGTTCAATCCCCAACCGTCCCTAAGTGGTTGGGCACCATTCCTTTCCCCCGTCCCATCCCAATTCCTTATCCTGACCCCTTCCCAGTGCTATATAGTCGTAATAGCTTGGCGCTTTCTTCTGATAGTTTGACAGTTCCCTTCCCTTTACCAGAAGACAGGCTTCTCAAGCCACCACTGTCCTCGGCTCAGTCAAGGCACTCACCTCCCTGTCAACACTGCATCCATCATGGTAATGATGAGTGGATAATGAGTAACCTCATCCATCATGGTAATAATGAGTGGATAATGAGTAACCTCATCCATCATGGTAATAATGAGTGGATAATGAGTAACCTCATCCATCATGGTAATGATGAGTGGATTGTGAGTAACCTCATCCATCATGGTAATAATGAGTGGATTGTGAGTAACCTCATCCATCATGGTAATGATGAGTGGATTGTGAGTAACCACCGAACATGTCCTCGTCCTCGTGATATCTATGCTCCCTCAACAAGCAAGATATCACAGTTACACAATCTACATGTACTTTTCTGGTAGCAGATATCTACCAGAAAGAGAGTTAATATAACATAACTTACCAGGTCTGCCACGGATCATGAAAACAACCCTCTGGAATAGAGACGAGCGAGGTCCGTCAATCAGTATAGGGAAAGCACTCCCAGGTCAGGGGCCAGATTCACGAAAGCACTTACGAACCTGTACATCTTTTCTCAATCTTTGGCGACTTTGTTTACAATTATTAAACAGTTAATGAGCTCCGAAGCACCAGGAGGCTGTTTATAACAATAACAACAGTTGAATGGCAAGTTTTCATGCTTGTAAACTGTTTAATAAATGTAACCAAAGCCGTCAAAGATTGAGGAAAGATGTACACGTTCGTAAGTGCTTGCGTAACTGCTTCGTGAATCTGGCCCCAGGTCCCTAGTCTACCATCCCTTAGGGTCAAACAAGTAGAATTGAGGTGTAGAGGAGGAAAACTGTTGATATAATGTGCCTTACCTTCCATGACGTTCTCCTCGCCGAAGTGGGTGACCTGGATGAAAGCCGGGGTAGTGGAGGCGACGGGGGTGAGGGGCGTGAGGGGCGTGGAGGGGGACTGTATCTTCTGGGTGACCCTCATCTTGGCCAGGTGGTGGGCGTGGGCGCCCGCACTAGGGGGCGGGGTGTCCAGCCCGTTCATCATGTTCCCGCGCGCGCGCGCCCCCTCCGTCCACAGTTATGCTAGGCTCTTCGCGACACTCTTTACACTCTATGTTACTCTAGGCTTCCTGTGTCCTAGCCACTTCCCTGGCCTCTCATGGCTTCAGTTCGTACTTGTAGCTTCTATACTGGGGCGAGGCCCTGTACACCTATTTGTTTATACCTCAATCTTTGAAGGTGTTATTCTTTATGTTCCATTATCATGCACTGGACTGTAATTACAAACATATTGACACTTATCACAGTAATGCCTTCACTCGTTCTTCCAATCTGGAGTCTATTACACTTTCCGACACAAAGCACTGGCATGCAGCCTTGGTCACACACACATCCGGTACGACTCGCTATCTATAGCTTTCTCACAGGCCATTATCGTTGGTTCTTACTGCATAACTAGCCATAATTAACGCGCACGCCTCGCATTAACAGTCCTGCAATGTTCGCAACAGTTTGTCAATCTCTCAATGTTTTCGTGCCAACGAAATGTCTCACCTCAATATTTTCAGATGTTTCTGCTATGTTTACCTGTGTTTTCTAAGTCATTATCGTAGAGTCCTGTATGTGTCTAACACAGATATGCTGTAAGGAAAGAAAAGCTTGCTCAAAAACGAGGAAAATGGCCGCAAGACTCAACAGAACGCAATTCATTCAAAATTAAAAAAAAAATCAGTTTAAGATTCCATGGAAATACAATATCGTGTGATGCATGATACAACAGGCTGACTCAACACAAAACTGTCCCAACAGGAATACAAGTACTACTAAACTACTTATTCATCACATACATTTACCAACACTAATTGGTAGTCACGAAAAGCTAATTTAACTTAGAGACTTTCACGAAAGCAGCGATATATTCATATATTCGATATATGGCCCTGTTACCTAGCAGTAAATAGGTACCTGGGAGTTAGTCAGCTGTCACAGGCTGCTTCCTGGGGGTGGAGGCCTGGTCGAGGACCGGGCCGCGGGGACACTAAAGCCCCGAAATCATCTCAAGATAACCTCAAGATAAGATATTTATTATTATTATTAGGTCCAGCTCAGCAGTTTGCCAAGAAGCATTCGCATCCAAGCTGATAATTAATTACAATAAATATATATAAACCCGCGACACACAAGTGGATTACTCGGGTTAATTTACCGGTAAGGAAAGCTGCGAGTCGTGTGAGAAAGCTGCGAGTCGGTGAGAAAGCTGCGAGTCGTGTGAGAAAGCTGCGAGTCGGTGAGAAAGCTGCGAGTCGGTGAGAAAGCTGCGAGTCGGTGAGAAAGCTGCGAGTCGGTGAGAAAGCTGCGAGTCGGTGAGAAAGCTGCGAGTCGGTGAGAAAGCTGCGAGTCGGTGAGAAAGCTGCGAGTCGGTGAGAAAGCTGCGAGTCGGTGAGAAAGCTGCGAGTCGGTGAGAAAGCTGCGAGTCGGTGAGAAAGCTGCGAGTCGGTGAGAAAGCTGCGAGTCGGTGAGAAAGCTGCGAGTCGGTGAGAAAGCTGCGAGTCGGTGAGAAAGCTGCGAGTCGGTGAGAAAGCTGCGAGTCGGTGAGAAAGCTGCGAGTCGGTGAGAAAGCTGCGAGTCGGTGAGAAAGCTGCGAGTCGGTGAGAAAGCTGCGAGTCGGTGAGAAAGCTGCGAGTCGGTGAGAAAGCTGCGAGTCGGTGAGAAAGCTGCGAGTCGGTGAGAAAGCTGCGAGTCGGTGAGAAAGCTGCGAGTCGGTGAGAAAGCTGCGAGTCGGTGAGAAAGCTGCGAGTCGGTGAGAAAGCTGCGAGTCGGTGAGAAAGCTGCGAGTCGGTGAGAAAGCTGCGAGTCGGTGAGAAAGCACGTAGCCAAAATTTCCGGCCAGAGACCGTTATCATGCATAACCGATTTTAAATTCAGATTTAAAATATTTTCCAGTGAATGCTGGCGAAGAAAACTGGCGGGTAGTTGGATAAGCACCGTACCGGGAAACTTGGTACCGGGTGGGTACCAAGTTTCCACCCGTGTCCCCTTGTTCGCGTACCACCAATGATACATAGGTGATCTTTATTCTACCCGGGAGCCGGTCGGCCGAGCGGACAGCACGCTGGACTTGTGATCCTGTGGTCCTGGGTTCGATCCCAGGCGCCGGCGAGAAACAATGGGCAGAGTTTCTTTCACCCTATGCCCCTGTTACCTAGCAGTAAAATAGGTACCTGGGTGTTAGTCAGCTGTCACGGGCTGCTTCCTGGGGGTGGAGGCCGGGTCGAGGACCGGGCCGCGGGGACACTAAAAAGCCTCGAAATCATCTCAAGATAACCTCAAGATAACAAGCACCTCCAAAGGATACCTGATCAACCAGGCTGTGACTCATACGTCAGGCTGCGAGCAGCCGCGTCCAACAGCCTGGTTGATCAGTCCGGCAACCAGGAGGCCTGGTCGACGACCGGGCCGCGGGGACGCTAAGCCCCGGAAGCACCTCAAGGTAGTTAACCACGAGGCAGCGGCTACCCACACCCACCTCCTGACCGCTACCCACACAATCAAGAAAGTTTTATAAAAATGCAAGACGCAATTAGTCATCTAACAACAGGTACAGGTTCCAACACCACCTTAATTGTTGTGAAGATGTCTTGGGAGCCGGTCGGCCGAGCGGACAGCACGCTGGACTTATGATCCTGTGGTCCTGGGTTCGATTCCAGGCGCCGGCGAGAAACAATGGGCAGAGAAACTTTCACACTATGCCCCTGTTGCCTAGCAGTAAAATAGGTACCTGGGTGTTAGTCAGCTGTCACGGGCTGCTTCCTGGGGGTGGAGGCCTGGTCGAGGACAGGGCCGTGGGGACACTAAAGCCCCGAAATCATCTCAAGATAACTGTGTCAAATGTATTCATTTATGCAAATTAAGATGTATGACGGTATTGATGTGTTCATTTATATGTTATGTATCATAACATATTGATACATAACACACCGTCATTGATACATAACACACCGTCATTGATACATAACACACCGTCATTGATACATAACACACCGTCATTGATACATAACACCGTCATTGATACATAACGTCATTGATACATAACACACCGTCATTGATACATAACACACCGTCATTGATACATAACACACCGTCATTGATACATAATACACCGTCATTGATACATAACACACCGTCATTGATACATAACACACCGTCATTGATACATAATACACCGTCATTGATACATAATACACCGTCATTGATACATAATACACCGTCATTGATACATAACACACCGTCATTGATACATAACACACCGTCATTGATACATAACACACCGTCATTGATACATAACACACCGTCCTCAAGCCGCTTCATCACTACATGTTTCCAGTGAGGTTAAGGAGAGCAACGGGTCAACCGGGAGCCTAAGCATGGCCGAAAGATTTACAATCTCCGTGGTGTAGTGGTAAGACACTCGCCTGGCGTTCCGCGAGCGCTATGTCATGGGTTCGTATCCTGGCCGGGGAGGATTTACTGGGCGCAATTCCTTAACTGTAGCCTCTGTTTAACGCAACAGTAAAATGTGTACTTGGACGAAAAAACGATTCTCCGCGGCAGGGGATCGTATTCCAGGGACCATAGGATTAAGGACTTGCCCGAAACGCTACGCGTACTAGTGGCTCTACAAGAATGTAACAACTCTTGTATATATCTCAAAAACAAAAACAAAAAAAAGAAAAAAGGAATAAAGTACTCAAAAAGAGGGTGGGTGAGGGTAGAAATAGCCTAAGCTATGTAGACCAGACCACACACTAGAAGGTGAAGGGACGACGACGTTTCGGTCCGGCCTGGACCATTCTCAAGTCGATAAGAATGGTCTATTCATCGCTAGCCTAAACTACTCTATTCCTTTGAGATGTATTTTACGGTCTCAATAAACGTACTTAAACTGATGTGCTACAATTATTATAACTTGTGTGCGGCAGATACTTAACATGTTTACATTATCTTATTATCAACTTCTCCCCCCCCCCAATTCTGCTCACCCCTCCCTACTTCCCCACTAATACACCCAGAATTTCTCCCCACCACACCTTGATTAATTCCCCACCACACGTGCCTAGACCAAGTCTTCACTCTCAAACACTTCCGTCACTCTCACTGGACCTCCCCTTCTCCACACGGGAGACATCTCCCGTCACGCAGGGTGCAGTCGCACCTCCACAGATCTCCAGTATCAGCTCTTGATACTGGTAATGGCTCAAAAGGGTCACCACTTACGGGCTATTCATGCCCGATGCCACCTTTTGGGTGGCTTAATCTTTATCAATCAATCATCAATCACTGGACCTCTAGCTTGAGTTGCAAACCAACTATTAACTGCAGCTCCTGTTAGGACAAAGTTACAGATGCCCGTCTCTCGTGGCTATTGAACAACGGTGTTATAACAACCCGTCCTCTTAAAAATAACGTCACTTTTGGCTGGTATGCGCGGCGCTATGGCCAAATTTGGACGTAATTTGAAATGAAATCGACTCACAAAAGTGACGTTCTGTTCCGTTTTCTGTTTGAGTCGTCCGGCTTACTCGGACACGCTAGGAGAAGAAACTTTCCATTAACGTTTTTCATAACGTTTTGAAACTTTATGAGAATTTCCTGCCCACCTAACCTACCAGAGGACCCTTAACTTACTGTTGTTGAAAAAAAATCCCAAATTTATTTTCAATTTTTTTTTTCATTTTCAAATTACGTCCAATTTCGGCCATACGGACAAACGGCCAAAAGCGACGTTATTTTTAAGAGGACAGGTTGGTTGGGCAACTATATTAATATTTAATCATTCCTCGTAGCCTGGTGGATAGCGCGCAGGACTCGTAATTCTGTGGCGCGGGTTCGATTCCCGCACGAGGCAGAAACAAATGGGCAAAGTTTCTTTTACCTTGAATGCCCCTGTTACCTAGCAGTAAATAGGTACCTGGGTGTTAGTCAGCTGTCACGGGCTGCTTCCTGGGGGTGGAGGCCTGGTCGAGGACCGGGCCGCGGGGACACTAA